GGATCATTTTTGATGTTTCAGCCCAAAAGTAGAAGGACGTTATTTATGCCCAGAGATTTTTAATCTAATATTTTGAACCCAGTAGATTTTGATGCTGAGTTGTTGGTTTAAGGCCAGGACATATATATATATATATATTTATATATAATTTTGTTCCTCGTGGTGGACATTTGATTCCGTCTCTGCTCTTAAAAAACAAACAAAAAACTCCACAAAAACTGGCAGGTGTTATAACAAAATATGTGAATAAGAAGCTACATTCATCAGTTGTGGTTGGGAAAGCATTTTTCTCTCCATGCCTCTGTTTACTCACCCCTGGGACAGAGATAATAATACTTCTGAATCCTCAGGTGAAAATTGAATGTTTTAATCTCTATAAATGATTTAGGGCAGTCATAGTATAAGAGATCAGTAAGTGGCAGCCAGAATTAACTGATTTTATTTTATTTATTTTTTTTTGAAAAATTTTTTTTTAAAGATTTTATTTATTTAATTGACAGAGAGAGAGAGAGACAGAGAGAGAGGGAACACAAGCAGGGGGAGTGGGAGAGGGAGAAGCAGGCTTCCCGCTGAGCAGGAAGCCCGATGTGGGGCTCGATCCCAGGACCCTGGGATCATGACCTGAGCCGAAGGCAGTCGCTTAACCAACTGAGCCACCCAGGTGCCCCGAATTAACTGATTTTAAAAGAGTGTTTTCTTGGAAGAGCAATGATTCTGTTCTAAGCACATGCCCTGTATTTGTCCATTTCCTCCTCACCATTACTCTGCGAAGTGGGGGCCGCTGTTACCCTGACCTTCCGTATGAGGAAACAGACCCAGAGAGGTTGAGTCATTTGTCTGAGGTCACACAGCTAACAGGTCACAAGTGTAAGGTTGGGTCAGAATGTTTGCGGTGTCCAGGAAGAACCCAGCACTCCCCGAGTCAAGCTCCTCGATATCAGAATGGGCTTGAATGTCCTTGAGCCCGAATGGAAGGGTCAGGAGACTCTGGGGTGCTCATGTGCCCGGGGTCACGCAAGGGCTTGGGCTGCAGGTCCAGAGGGAGGCGTTGTTCATGAAGAGTGAGCGGCACGCGGCCGAGGCCAAGCTGGCCACAGCAGAACAGCAGCTGCGGGGGCTACGGACCGAGGCCGAGCGGGCTCGCCAGGCCCAGAGCCGCGCCCAGGAGGCCCTGGATATGGCCAAGGAGAAGGACAAGAAGGTGCGTCCCCTTTCCCTGTGCTCCCCTGGGGGTTCCCCACCCAACAGAGGTTGGGGGAAATCCAAGAATGTCCCAGATGAACGAGTCTTGGGAGATCAGCCCATTTTCTAGATGGGAGACTGAGGTACAGAGAAGGAAGGGGACAACTCAGACACGCGGGCTACTGTTCTAACTATGAATTATAACCACAGTTAACATTTACTGAGCACTTACTGCATGCTAGGCCCCGAGCTATGTATTTGACATGGACTAACACGTGTGATCCTCATATCAAGTTCCTGTCAGATCAGGGCTCTTATTGTCCCCATTTGAAGAAGCGAGGCACGGGGCGGGGGGGATGCCACTTGCCTGAGGTCGCACAGCCACGCAGAGGTTCAGCCAGCGTTTGGACCCCAGCTGCCCAAGTTCTGGTCTTCAGTAACGATGATGGTTGACAGCAGGCCATGGCTACTGAGTTGGGTGGTTTTCACACACTATCACTTTTCATTTCCCTCTAACCCCGAAAGCCAGAAGGCATTCTTATTTCTGTTTTCTAGATGAGCAAGCTGAGGCTCTGAGAGGCCAAGGTGACATGTCAGAGTGACACGTCAGGTCGCTCGCTCATTGGACAGGCACGTGACTCCCAGAGCCCCAGGTGCATCAGCATAGAGTCCCCCAGCTCTAGCTCACTGTGTGACCTTGAACAAGTCAGTTGACCTCTCTGAGCCTGTTACCACCTTCTGCAAAATGAACATAAGATTGTGGTTGAGATTACGGTTTATTTGTTGCAGGATCTCTCCCCCTCGGCACCTAGTGACACTGGGGTCAGGTCATTCTCTGGGGGGGGGGTGTCCCAGGCACTGTGGGGGGCTGAGCAGCATCCCTGGCCCCACCCCCTCCATTCCAGGAGCACCCCCAATGTGACAACCACAGACATCCCCACACATGGCCTGGGGTTCCCTGGGGGCAGAGATTGAGAACCTCTGATCTGTAGTATAATAATAAAGCTTAGCATTTATTGAGTGCCTGCTGTTTGCCAGGCACAGTGTAGATTTAACCTCCGTTCAGAATCACAGTAACCTGCCAAGGTGAGAACCGTGATTCTCCTTCCTTTACAGATAAGGAAACTGAGGCTCAGAGGGGTTAAGTCGTCTTCCCAAGATCTCCTGCAAGAAAGGCGTAGGGAGGGACCCAAGCCCAGGGCTGCCTGACCCAGCCCCACCAGGCCAGGCTGCTTTGGGCCTCCCGTTCTGTCAGCCTCCCCTTTCCAGAGTCCACAAGAGGGGCTGTGACAGGATCGGCAAACTTCTGGAAAGAGCCAGAGTCCATGTTTTCGGCTCTGACGTGTCGGTGAATGGGCCTGGCAGCGCATCAGTGAAATTTTATGTACGAGCTCGGAATTTGATTTAATTTTCCTATGTCATGAAATATCATTTTTCTTTCAACATTTCCCCCCCAACCATTTACAAATGTGAGAGCCATTCTTAGCTCACAGGCCAGACTCCCGTGGGCCGGAGTTTGCTAGCCTCTAGGATGTGACCTTCCCTCACCAGCCTCTTCTCTAGGTGCTAGGGAGGTCCAATGTCCTGGGCTCCAGGCTCAGGGTGACTGTAGGTACCCCCCCAACCTCCCCCCGCCTAGATCACAGAGCTCTCCAAGGAAGTCTTCAGTCTTAAGGAGGCCCTGAAGGACCAGCCAGCGGCCCCAGGCACCCCTGAGGTGGAGGCCCTCCAAGGCCAGGTCAAGGCCTTGCAGGAGCAGCTGAAGGTGAGGACATGGGGCAGGGGAGGAAAGCAGTTCAGGATTTTTTTTTTTTTTAAAGATTTTATTTATTTATTTGACAGAGAGAGACACAGCGAGAGAGGGAACACAAGCAGGGGGAGTGGGAGAGGGAGAAGCAGGCTTCCCGCCGAGCAGGGAGCCTGATGTGGGGCTCGATCCCGGGACTCTGGGATCATGACCTGAGCCAAAGGCAGCCTCTTAACTGACTGAGCCACCCAGGTGCCCCAGCAGTTCAGGATTTTAGCAGCTGTCACGCTGGGGCAGGGGCTCTGGGTGTAAAGGGGGCTTTGGGGCGTTTTGGGGGGGACCTGCTTTTCTAAGCACCCCTCCCCCATACTCACAGCAGGCTGCCAGGAACCACAGTGCAGTGGTGGCCTTGTATAGGAGCCACCTCCTGTATGCCATTCAGGTGAGTCCCGCCTGGCCACCATCACTCCGGCCCATTCTCCCATCTGTACAGGAGGAGAGATTCATGGCCTTCAGGGGTGGGGTGGGAGGGAACCGGGAAGCCAGAGCAGGGGTGCCCAGGCTCTCTCTCTCTCTGCTTCCCCCCATCCCAGGGCCAGATGGATGAAGATGTGCAGCGGATCCTGAGCCAGATCCTACAGATGCAAAGACTCCAAGCTCAGGGCCGCTGAGCACCACAGCACTGACCCTCCGCCTGCCAGGCTCACGCGTGGGGGCGTCCAGGCTCACGCGCTGACCTTCTAAGCTCGGACACCAGCCTGGGCCTTCTCTACTGTACTTAGCTGCGTCCATGGCCCCGCTGGTCCCCACATGCACTGGCCAGTGTCATCCCTAGCCCTGACTGTGCCCCCACCCCAACCAGAGAATCTGTGAGCCCCCTCTCCCGCGTCCGGTCCTGTCGGTCCTGTAACCAGGCAGCACCCCGGACCCTGGGATTAAAAAGTTCTCAGAGCAGAGGATGAATGTGTGTGGCCTGATCGCTGGGCCCCTGTGGCAGGGAGGAGAGGGGATGGCCTAGAACAGGGACTGGCAGGTGAGGCACTCGCCCCCTGCACCAGTGACTCAGACCCCGGAATGAGTACTGGGGTCGTGCAGTGTTGTAAAAGGTCAGAAGTCCACGATGAACAAACCGTCCAAATGTTAAGTGAAGACAGCATCCAAGTCGGCGTGCCCTGAGTCACTTTCCTCACCCTAAATCCAGCCCCGCTGGGAGCCTCCCACCCCCAGCCTCCCTGCCCTTGGGCAAGTCCCCTGAAATCCCCTGGGGCTTCTTGGCTCTTTCCAGCTGAGGTGGGGGAGGTGGGAATATGGCCTGTCCCTGGGGTTTCCTTGCGTGTCCGGGGCCGGCACCACGTCCGTAGGGGCTCAGCCTGTCCCTTGGCGTCCTTATGGCTCAGAGAAGGTCCCGCAGGAGGGGGCTGCCCTCCCGGGGCCCCGCGTGTCTGTGTCTCCGTGGCCTGGAGCGTGGAGTGCTGGCCAGGGTGGATCCCCACCGCTGCAGTCGGGCGGTGAGTAAAGGGGTGATTTCTGTGTCCTGCCTGGGTCTCTCTTCACCCTGTGTCTCGCTGTCTCCAGGTCCCTCTTCTGTTTCTGCCGCTGGCTCACGGGCTCCCATCTCTGTCCCTGTCCCCTTCTCTCTGGGGCTCTGCGTCGTTGCCCGCACTGGCCTTCCTGTTCTTCTCCCTGTCCCCTTCCCCCTCCTGGGGCTTCCCCCCCCCACCCCGTGCTTGTCCTCCTTGCAGCGGAAGGAAGGACTTGCAGTCAGGCTGTTGTGGGAAAGGCCACGGGGGCTCCACTTCTCTCTTTCGAGACCTCCTCTCCCGCCCCCTTGCCCAGGGCCTCCAGAACCTTGCGCCCAACCCAGCTGTGACAGGTGAAGGGACCAGGGCTCCTCCACCGTCCCCGCACGACTCTCTGCTGGCTCCTCAAACTGCCCAGGGAGTCAGACCCAGGGAAGGGAAAGGGGGGGGCTTTGACCAGGGGCTGTGCGGCCCCCTCGGGTGGGACCCAAGGCCCCTGCCTCCCCAAGGTGCTCCCGGCCCCAGCTCCTGACGGCAGAGCCCGCGGACTCATGGCCTCAAGACTTCTCCTGGTGCTCACCCTCTGGGTGGGCTGCTCACCCTGCAGCGGGAGAGAAGGTATGTGCTCGCCCTCTGGGAGGGCTGCTCACCCTGCAGCGGGAGAGAAGGTATGTGCTCGCCCTCTGGGTGGGCTGCTCACCCTGCAGCGGGAGAGAAGGTATGTGCTCGCCCTCTGGGTGGGCTGCTCACCCTGTAGTGGGAAAGAAGGTATGTGCTCGCCCTCTGGGAGGGCTGCTCACCCTGCAGCAGCGGGAGAGAAGGTATGTGGGACCCGCCAGGGCCTGGGGGGCAAGAGCAGAAGGGCACTACCCGGGGCCTGGAGTTGAACTGTCTGCCATGGAATATTCTGGGCTCTGGGGTGGGAGCTCACACACCTACTGGATAACCCACAGGTGGGACGAGGTTACCATCCCATTGCACAGATGGGGAAATGGAGATACAGAGGACCAGTCCCACCGCAAAGCGACACCGGGAAGTGGCAGCCACAGCATGGACAGGGGGAGGGGGAAGGAGGGAGGGAGACATTTTAATTGCATACATTCATTCCATGCACTTCTAAACAAGCCTGCTAGGAAGAGGGGCTACACTGAGACAGTTCCCTCCCACCGGGGCTCCCCGCCACTCAGGTCCCCCTGTGTGGCTCCCTAACCCTCAGTTTCCCCATCTGGAAAATGGGCTAATACTCCCAGCCTTCGCAGGTTGTAGTGGAGGCGAGAGATGATGCAGCTGCCTTTTTTTTTTTTTTTAAAGATTTTATTTATTTTTTTGGGCGCCTGGGTGGCTCGGTTGGTTAAGCAACAGCCTTCAGCTCAGGTCATGATCCTGGAGTCCCTGGATCGAGTCCCGCATCGGGCTCCCTGCTCGTCAGGGAGTCTGCTTCTCCCTCTGACCCTCCCCCCTCTCATGTGCTCTCTCTCTCTCTCTCTCTCTCTCATTCTGTCTCAAATAAATAAATAAAATCTTAAAAAAAAAGATTTTATTTATTTTTTGACAGAGAGACACACAGGGAGAGAGGGAACACAAGCAGGGGGAGTGGCAGAGGGAGAAGCAGGCTTCCCGCGGAGCAGGGAGCCCGATGCAGGGCTTCATCCCAGGACCCTGGGATCATGACCCGAGCCGAAGGCAGCCGCTTAACCACTGAGCCACCCAGGCGCCCCTGCAGCTGCCTTTCATTTACATATTCATTTGCTGCACAAACCTTTATTAGGCACCTACTGTGTGCCTGGTGCCGCCGGCTGGCAGGGAGGCTGAGGCCGGGCACATGTAGGGCTCTGACAATCCCGGGGCGGGTTGGAAGCTCACACGCCGTCCTCTCCCTCCGGGGCCCCAGCAGCTCCCACCCAGCCCAGGGTGCGGTGCCGGGCCTCTAGGTACCCAATTGCCGTGGATTGCTCCTGGACCCTGCTGCCCACTGCACACTCCGCCAAGCCCACGTCCTTCATTGCCTCGTACAGGTCAGAGTGCCCAGGAGGGCGTCCTGGGGTTTCACACGGGGGCCAGGACAGCTGGAGGCCTAGTGAGTACCCGAAACCCCCGGGATTCCAAAGCAGCATGGGCCAATAGAGATATACTTCCTAAAACACAGCCTGCGAGTCACATGTGGAGTTCAAACCCTTCTAGAAGCCACATTTAAAAAGGAAAGAGAAATGATGTGACTTTTAATATTTTGCTTCAGTATCATCTCAATATTCCAAATATTTATTTAATAGGATCGAGTATAACTTAACATGCTTATGTGCAATTTATATACGTAAATTCATAATAGAAATTAGTATTACTTAGTGGGATTAAAGCAGGATCATGTCAACATATAATCAACATGTTAAAAGTTAATGAAGTATTTTACATTCTCTTTATACTAAACCTGAAACTCCATGTGCATTTTACACACAGAGCACCTTTCCACTCACGTGCTAAATGTTCACAGGGAATTCTTAGTCTCTGATTAGACTTTATAAAATCTGTGGGTGGGACTGTAGAGTCATCCACCTGGGTCGTCCTGAACAACTTTGTCAAGTTTTCTGACCACCGGGAACTTGACATTGAGGGCAGATAAAATAAATTGGAAAGCCACCCTCGCTTGCACCAGCCACATTTTGAACAGCGGACAGCCACTCATGGCCAGTGACTACTGCATCCGACGGGGCGGTCGGAGCACGTGGAATGTTCTGGAAGGCTGTATGTGCAGCGCTGAGCTTGTCCCTAGAGTCTGAAACCTTGGGGTCTCAGAACTCAGGACAATCAGAATCTTATTTCAGAATCTGTGAGTCCGTAGACCTCGGAATGTTGGAATTCTAAGGCTGGAATGCTGACATTCCAGAAACCTGTAGAATCTGGACCCTAGCGTCTCCCTGTAGGGTGTTCCCCCTGGCCCTGGGTCCACACAGGCTCCGTGATGTTGGGGTGAACGGCTACCTCGGGGTCCCACAGCCAACAGCAGGACCCCAGCCTGTGGTCCTTGAGTAACCCCACTTCCCCATCCCGCGGGAAGTGCTGAGGCCCTCACGCTGCCCCTGCGTGTGCAGGCTCGGTGTGGCTGCCCATGGGGAGAGCCGACCCTGCCTCCAGCTGACCCCTGAGGCCACCAGCTGCACCATCCCAGACGTCCAGCTGTTCTCCATGGTGCCTTATATACTCAACGTCACAGCGGTCCAGCCCTGGGGCAGCAGCAGCAGCTTCGTGCCCTTTGTTCCCGAGCATATCAGTGAGTGCAGGTGGCAGCGCGGGGCCATGGGGGGTGGGGAGGGCCGCCAGCTTGCTTGCCCCTCCCCGCTCTCACCACCCACCTCCTGTCATCCCTCCTGGGTCCTGTCGGCTCCACGTTTGCATTTCTTCAAGAAGCCGCCCACTTCTCCCCACACCGAGCCCCCACCCGGCCCAGCCTCCATGTTCGCTTGAACCGGCTCAATCCCCTCCACCCTGGTCCCCAGTCCTGCCCTCAGCCCCACGATCTGCCCTCCCCACAGTGGCCACCAGAGGGCGCCTGTGAGCACCCGAGTCAGGTCCCACCCTCCCCTGTTGTCAGCCCTTCAGAGCTCCCACCTGCCTGAAGTAAAAGCCCAAGTCTTCCCCAAGGCCCCCAAAGTTCTGCACGACCTGCCCCATCCACTCCGTGCCCTCCGCTCCTCCCTCTGTCCTCCTCACTCATTCACTCTTCTCCAGCCACACACACCTCCTCTGTTCCTCCAGCACACCAAGCAGGTCCTGCCCCAGGACCTTTGCACAGGCTGTGCCCTCTGCCTGGAAACCTCTTCCCCCAGATCTCTACACAGTACACTCCCTCACCTCCCTCATATCTACTCAGATGTCATCTCCTCAGTGAGCTCTCCCATGAGCACATTATTAAAGACTGCAAACCCTTCTTTGTTGCTGGTGATTATTAAGAGAGTCTAGTAGTTCCTCAAAGAGTCAAACATACGTTATCATATAAGCCAGCAATTCCAGTTCTAGGTGTATACCCCAGAGAAATGAAATTATATGTACTCAGAAACTTGTAATGTTCACAGCAACGTTATCCATAATAGACAAAAAGCAGAAACAACCCAAGGGTCTGTCAACAGATGAATGGATACACAAAACAGGCTCCATTCATATTATGAAACATTACTCAGTCATGAACAGGAGCGAGGCACCCACACATGCTGCCCCGGGGACAGACCCCGAGCCCTCGATGCTCAGGGAGGGAACCAGACACAGAAGGACACACAGGGTGTGAGTCCACGTGGGTGACATGTCCAGAACGGGCTCATCCACAGACAGGAAGTGCATTAGTGGTTGCAAGGGGCTGGGGATGGTGAGTGACTGCTGATGGGGACAGGGTATCTTTTTTGGGGTAATGGAATGTTTTAGAGTTAAATAGCTCTCGATCTTTCTTCCCTACTCTTGATGCCCCGTGGATTTGCTTCTTGTTTCTTGTCTTTTGCCCTGATGGACTGAGCTCCAAGAGCACAGGGGTTGGGTCTGTATTGGTCACTGCTGTGTCCCCAGTGTCCAGGATGCCGCTGGACATTCAGTAGACATTCAATAAATACTTGTTGGTTGACTGGATGAAGGAGTGAGCCTACCAGCAGCCCCTGACCTTGCCTCCTGCTTGTCCGTCAGTCAAACCAGACCCTCCCGAAGGCGTCCGCCTGAGCCCCCTCCCTGGGCAGCGGCTGTGGGTGCAGTGGGAACCCCCCCGGTCCTGGCCGTTCCCAGAGATCTTCTCACTCAAGTACTGGATCCGATACAAGCATCACGGATCCGCCCGCTTCCGCCAGGTGAGGAGGAGGGGAGGAGGGGGGGACAGCACGTGCCATTCATAGCGGCCAAAAGGCGGAAACCGCCCAAATGTCTGTCAACAGATGAATAGAAAAACACACGTATCCTCCCAAGCGTGGGCAGGTCACCCAGCGGGAACAGGGGTGAGGCGCAGACACGCGCTGCCCTGGGGACAGACCCTGAGCCCACCACACTCGGGGAGGGAACCAGACACAGAAGGCCACACGGGTGCGTTCATCACGATTCCATTTATGGGAAACATCCAGAACAGGCACATCCCCAGACAGGAAGGCGGTTCTGGCTGCCAGGGGCTGGGAAGGGAGCGGAGAGAGATGGCCGATGGGGACATGGCTTCCTTTTGGGGTGATGGAATGTTCTGGAACTAGAAGGAGGTGATGCGGGCGCCTGGATGGCTCAGATGGTTAAGCGTCTGCCTTTGGCTCAGGTCATGATCCCGGGGTCCTGGGGTCGAGTCCTGCATCAGGCTCCCTGCTCCTTGGGAGCCTGCTTCTCCCTCTGCCTCTCTCTCTCTCTCTCTCTCTCTCGTCTCTCATGAATAAATAAATAAAATCTTTTAAAAAAAAATAGAAGGAGGTGATGGTTTACAACATTGGGAATATACTCAAGGCCCCAAATTGTTCTCTTTAATTGGTTAATTTTATGTCATGTGAATTTCACCTTGATTAAAAAATACATTGTTTAAAATTTTTACAAAGTAAAAAATAAGTAAGGCAAGGGTATTGCCGAGCATCTGTGGTCAGTGGTGTATTAGCCTCAGATGCCAGACCCAGGAGCTGCATGCTTGCAGGGTGTAGGCTTCTGCGACCCTGTCGCATGGGACTTTCTGGGACCACGGAAATGTTCTACGTGTGCACTGACTCAAATTGTACCACGAACCTCATGTAGCTACTGAGCAGCGGCAATGTGGCAAGTAGTCAAGGAACTGGCTTTTACATTTTATTTAGTGTGCATTCGTTTTCTTTTAAATATTTTTGCAATTTATTTTCATTTATATACATACAAATAAATTTTTATTTTATTTTTTTAAGATTTTATTTTTAAGTAATCTCTACGTGCAACATGGGGCTTGAACTCACAACCCCAAGATCAAGAGTCACACTCTCCCAGCACCTGGTTGTCACCGTCGGTTAAGCATCTGACTCTTGGTTTCAGCTCAGGTCGTGATCTCAGGGCCGTGATATCGAGCCCCATATCAGGCTCTGTGCTCAGCACAGAGTCTGCTTAAGATTCTCTCTCCCTCTGCCTCTGTTCCACCCCCCTGCCCTCCTACGCGCTTTCTCTCTAAAATAAATAAATATTTTTAAAAAGAAAAAGAAAAAAAGGGACTCGCAGACTCTACCAGCTGAGCCAGCCCAGTGCCTCTATTTTTTTGGAAATTTTTTAGTGGTGAGAATGAAGGTGATTTTTTTTTTAAGATTTGTTTATTTATTAGAGAGAGAGAGAGAGAGAGAGAGAGAGAAAGAGATGGGGGAGGGGCAGAAGGAGAGGGAGAATCTCTAGCAGACTTTGGCTTTGCAGGGCTCCATCTCACCACCCTGAGATCATGACCTGAGCTGAAACCAAGGGTCGGACCCTTAAAAGACTGAGCCACCCGGGGGCCCCTATTTTTGCAATTTTTAGATTGAGACAGAATTCACGTGCCATAAAATTCATAAAAACTGCACAAGGCAAAAAGGCTCTGAGCATATTCGCAAAGTTACACAATCGTTAATCTAAAGTAAAACGTAAACCGCCACATCCACCTGCCATCAGGATGACCCAGGGCCCAGCGGGGAGGCGGACAGTCAGATCTGGGGCCTGGAAGTTGGTTGGAGGGTGCAGGGGGGGGGCGGATATTGGTCTGTCGTTCTGTTCTGAGGATGAGGGGGACCCGGCAGGGGGACAGAGCCACATCTAGGAGGGAGAGTGGAAGTGGCGGGAGAGACACGGGGAAAGGCAGAGCCAAAGTGGGTGTCTCCCTCGCGCCCCTGGGTTTTAGTCTGTAGAGGTGCCTGAGAGCGGACGCGGAGAGGTCAGTGCCATTGCAAGAAGAATTGATTACATTTCCCCAGAGAAGGGGACATGCCACACCACGCAGGCCCACACGGGCAACATCAGGACGGGAGGCAGAAACAGGAGTCCGGGGAGAAAGCCTCTGTGGGGGGTTTGGTGGGAAGGCAAGGCAGGGCTGGGTGAACCGCTCAGCTGGGGGCTGGCGAGTGTGAAGACTTCTGGCCGCCTCTGGGCTGCACCTGGCCCCGGGAGGCTGTAGGGCAGGGGGACGGCTGGCTTGTGTGGGAGCTGGAGGGAGTGGGCTGTGAGTCTGATGGGCTGGTGTGTACACGAGAGCCATGCTCCTGGCTGGTAGGCCATCTCTAAGAATCCGCTGACCCCAGGAGGGGCAGTCACTCCCTGGTCAGCAAGATGTGGCCAACAGCAGAAAGAGAGGATGCCGAAAACTTAAAAACAAGGTTAATACCGCGGGGCCAGGAGGGAGGGAGGCATTGAGGCTGATCACAGAGGCTGTGGCTGGGGCCTGGAGGAGGAGTGGGGTGTTGGGGTTGGGGGTCTGTGTGGTCCACAAGGGTGTCCGGAAATGGGTGGCTCGGGGGCCAAGGATCAGGAAGGACCAACAATGTGGAGGGGGCCTCAGGGGCATACTTGTTAGGATGGAACAGGGGAACCGAAGCTCCGTCATGCGGTTCCGTGCCCCACGGCCCCTCCCAGTCTCCTTGTCCCCACTGACCTCACCCCTCTTTTCTGCTCTCAGGTGGGGCCTATTGAAGCCACATCCTTCACCCTCAGGGCTGTGAGGCCCCAAGCCAGGTACTGCATCCAGGTGGCTGCTCAGGACCTCACCGACTATGGGGAAGCAAGTGACTGGAGTCTCCCTGCTGCTGCCTCCAAGCCCATGGGCAAATAGAGGGGCTTCCCAGCCCCGCCCCCGCCCAGAAGAGGGGCTGGGTCCTTGACATCCGCCCCCCCACTGCCACCCACTCAAGGAGGGATGGGACCCATCTGGCTTGGGTTCGCTGCTGCTGAGTTGCTGCGCAACATCGGACAAGTGACTTTGCCTTTTTTTTTTTTTTTTTAAGATTTTATTTATTTATTTGACAGAGAGAGATAGTGAGAGCAGGAACACAAGCAGGGGGAATGGGAGAGGGAGAAGCAGGCCTCCCGTCGAGCAGGGAGCCCGATGCAGGACTCGATCCCAGGACCCTGGGACCACGACCTGAGCCGAAGGCAGACGCTCAACGACTGAGCCACCCAGGCGCCCGTGACTTTGCCTTTCTGAGCCTGTTTGTCAATCTGTGAAATGGGGATGCACTTCTCCCTTAGGCCACAGTACGGGGCTCTGTGTACTGTGAACTTCTGATGTTTTTTATTGTTTAACTAAAAAAAGATTGTTGCTGGAATCAGGATTCCTCCTCCTTTCATTTTTTAAAAAGATTTTATTTATTTGAGAGAGTGAGAACAAGCTGGGGGGTTGCAGAGGGAGAAGCAGGTTCCCCGCTGAGCAGGGAACCCGATGCGGGACTTGATGCCAGGACCTTGGGATCATGACCTGAGCAGAGGGCAGATGCTTAACCAGCTGAACCACCCAGGTGACCCTCCTCCTCCTTTCAATAGACCCAGATGAGACCCAGAGGGGAGAGGATGAAGCAGGACACACACAGCGAATCCCCACTCCCATGGATCCCCGGGGTCAGGGCTGGACCAGAGGAGGAGCCTGGGGCTGGGGAGAGGGCTCTGCCTGGGACCGGGTGAGGGGTGAAATCCACTCAGCTCAGCAGTTCAGTTCACCTACCTCCTGAAAAGCTGCCTGGGGGTGAGCCCCACTATGGGTAGATGCAAATAGGGTATGAGTTTGGGAAGATTTCTCTGGCGAGAGGGCGGGGGGTGGGGGGTGCAAAGCCACCAGGACTGAAGGTGGGAGAAAAATCCATGGGCTTCTCTGTGAATTTCACTCGGGTCTAAAGTCAAAGGTCACCTTCTCCGAGAAGCCTTTCCTCACCACCTCATGTATGGCCAGCAGTCATGGCCCCCCAAAACATAGCCGCCCCGTAATCCCCAGAATGGGGGAATACAGTCCCTTACATGGCAAAAGGGACTTTGCGGATGTGATTAAATTAAGGATCATGAAGATCCTTAATTCAAAGATTAAGGATCCTGTATTAAGTGAACGGACGTCATGGCGGGTTATCCTGGATGGTCCAGGTGGCCTGATGACAAGGGTCAGAGGGAGGTAGGGAAGGTGATGGGCGGACAGAAGCAGAGGCCAGAGTGGATACCAGGCCATGAGTTGGGGCGTGCAGGCGGACTCCGGAAGCTGGGAAGGTCGAGGAAACAGATTCTGCCCTGGAGCCCCCTCCCATCCACTTTAGACTTCTCTCCCCTCCACCCTGAGAGAGAGAGAGAGAGAGAAAGAGAAAGAGAAAGAGAAAGATAGAACACACAGGAGGGGAAGGACAGAGGGAGAGGGAGAATTCCAAGAGGCTCCACACTGACGCAGGGCTCGATATCACAGCCCTGAGATCATGATCTGAGCTGAGATCAAGAGTCCGACACCTAACCAACCGAGCCACCCGGGTGCCCCAACTTTAGACTCCTGATCTCCAAACCATAGGATAATAAACGTGTGTGGTTTTAGGACAGCGAGCCTGCGCTAACCATGCAGCAGCCACAGGAAGCTCACACACCCTCAGGTGCCCCTTCTCTCCACTGTCCCAACACTGCTCTGTTGCACCAGGTGGGTTTGGGAGTTGGTGTGCATGTGCAGGGCACGTGGGTGCGGGAGCTGGTGCACGCACGTGCAGGGCAGGTGGGTGCGGGAGGGGATGCGTGCATATGTGAAGGGCAGGCGGGTGCGGGAGCTGGTCTATGAGTCTCTCTGCCCGGGACTCCAGGTAAACTTGGGGAAGGGCGTCCAGGCTGCTCTGTGGACATGAGCCCGTGGGAGTCGTCCCCGGTCCCCTGGTGCGCGCTAGGGACACAGGAACACGTGTGGCTTCCCGCAGCCCAGCACACAGAGTAAGCGCTCAACGCCGACCTCCGTGTTGGCTCCAGAAAGGAGTGAAGAGCAGGGAACGTAGCGACCAGCGGCCACTGCGCGTCACGATGGAATTTTTGTGAGCTGCTGCTCACCTCTAGGGGGCGCAGAACCTCCCCGGAACTTCAAATCAGCCGACCTCCGGAACCTTTGCCATCGACTAGCGAGGGTATAACTCGGAAGGGAAGGTAGCCGGCTTCGGCTCTTGACAGACGGGGACCAAAGCCAATGAAAAGGGGACCTGCGTATCCTCCAACCAATAACAGAATGGAGGAAGTGACGCCAGCGGAAATACAAGGGACGGTCAGCGGCGTTCGGCGAACGCCGAGTCTAAGCGTTCTTCTCGTGCTTGTCAGAGAAGTAGGAGGCAAAGATGTCGGAGCGAAAAGTTTTAAACGTAAGTATTTGGTGACTAGGGCTTTCTAGCCGGGGCGGGACACCTCGGAGCTCCGGCCTCGGTGGGTTTCCTATGCTCTCCTATTGGAACCTTTTTCTCTTCTCCAACGGTCTTCCGCGGGGCGGGGCTTTCAGAAACCTCCCAATCACCTTCCGTAGCCTTCGGGGCGGGGCTTAACATGGTTGCTCCATCTCTTCGCCTGATTGGTTGTGCCGAAGGGAGTTAGCCAGTCACGTCCCTTGGGGGCGGTCCGCCTTCGCAGTATTGCCGTTCGCTCCTCCTCCTCCTCCAGGCGCGTGGCTCCGTGAGGCCCCCGCCCCCCCGGGGGTTCGGGGGTTCGCGTCCCTGGGGGGGCTTCGGCTTTGCTCTGCTCTTCCGCTCCGCTGGCAGGGGACCCTCCCAGCCGCCTCGGCTTCTCCCGACTCTGGTGGAAAACCGGTGGGGGGGCTCAAAAGGCAGGATGCGGCCCTTGAGTTCCGAGTCCGCGTCCGCAGCCCCCGGGAGGGGTGTGTGCTTCGTGTCGGCGAGTGAGCTCCCCGGCCTGGGAGTGTGTAAGCCCAGGATGTAAGGCCAAGAGCCCAGGTTTCCACGGGCGGGCCGATGCCACTCCCTGCAGCCTCGCGCTCTGATCTTTTTAGCAGTTAGGTATCCACTCCTGGCGTCTTCACAGTCCAGGGCAGGTGCTGGACTCCGTGTCCACGAAAGGCCTTCTGTCCTGACGATCCAGCTGGGAGCCCTCTGTCCTCTTCATTTCCTGGTGCATACTGCGCCAGCGCCCTGCTCATCAGATTGTGGAGGCGGACGGGTTCCCTCCGTTCGGATGAGGACAGCGAGGCCCAGGGAGATAGCCAGGGAGAGGAGGGCTTGGACCCAGGCCCCTGGTCACCGGACCACGCTGCTTCCCCCAGAGCCGTGTCCCCGCCGGGACTCAGTTTCCTCCTCTGTGACGTGGGCACATCACGGTCTGCCTCGTAGAGGCTCTGCAAGCATTCTGTGAGGCAAGGGCTATAAAGTGTTCCGTGTAGCAGCGCCCGGCACCTAGTAGGTGCTCAGAATACGAACTGCTTTATTTTCTGATTATCCGGTGAAGCTGTTTTCCATGATCCACACCTGCCTTGCGCATATCTCCCAGCTAAGACTCCCGTGCAGGAGCAGTGCATACAGCAGGCCCGAGGCTGCCGTCCCGGCTGGCTTGCCGGGTTGGACCTTGGCTGGCATCCGGGAACTGGAATCTCGGGATGGTTCCCTTGCTTACACTCTTTGTACAAACAACATGGGTTATGCTGAGCACCGGCCGTCCTTCCGGGGTCTAGAATATTGGAAGCTGCGAGGCAGAGGGGCCGGGTGACCCTCCCTGAGCGAAAGCGCTGGGCTTCCTGTGTGCTTCTCTGGGAGACACTATCTCACATGTGTGGTCATATTTCCTCACTGGGGTAATTAACACGTCTGGTGTGATCCCACGGGGAGAAGACTCTGGAAGCTTGTGCCTGGTCTCCCCGGACCCCTCCCCACACACCTTTTCCCTTTGCTGATGTGTCCCCGTGTCCTTTTGCCGTAGTAAGTGGTAGCCGTAAGTACGAGTGTGTGCTGAGTTCTAGGAGCCCTCCCACCAAATCATCAGACCGTGGGGTGGTCCTGGGGACCTGGGTACAGCTCCTCAGAGCTCCTCCCTCTTTTCCTGGCCTGCTCCTGTGCCCGAGACAGCTCCCCTGACACTTTTGCTTCCCACAGAAATACTACCCGCCTGACTTTGACCCATCAAAGATCCCCAAACTCAAGCTTCCCAAAGATCGGCAGTATGTGGTGCGGTTGATGGCTCCCTTCAACATGAGGTGAGTGCCCCCCCCGTGTGACTCCCCATGTGGCCCCTCACGTGGCCCCCCACATAAGTCCTGGCAGACAGACCCGGTGCCTGACACCCCCATAGAGTGGCTCATCCCTGGTACTCAGACCAGGTCCCCAGTGCCGGCTCAGACGTCGACTCATTGAGCACGGGACTGTGCCAACCCTCATTTTCCTCACAGATCGGGATTAACACCCCCTGACTCAGAGCTCCCAGCCAGTATCTGCCTTGAGATCTTGATCGTAGGTAATAAGTATGAGTGCAGAGATGGGACCCTGTGTACTAATTCACCGCCTCCAGCAGCCACACTTCTTCATACCCCAGGACCTTTGCACAGGCTGTTCCTTCTGCCTGGAACATTCTTCCTTCTGCTCTCACTTGGCCAGCTCTTCTTCACCCCTCAGGTCTTGGCTTAAATCTCACCCTCTCGGGGGCACCTGGCTGGCTCAGTTGGTAGACTCTCTTGATCTCAGGGTCGTGAGTTCAAGCCCCACGTTAGGTGTAGAGATTAAGTTTTTAGAAAATAATAAGCTTTAAAAATATATATTTCAAAAAACTTTTTTCAATAAAATCTTAAAAAAACCTCACTGCCTCAGAGAGGCCCTCATGACCCACTGCCTGACCCCTTCCATGATTCCCTCTCCCTCACCATCCCCAGATCTTGCCCTTTGTACTGCTTCATGATTACTGTGTCTTACCGATTTTGAGCCTCATGCTTTTTCACGTTTTAGCAAATTGAAGTCGGATACACCCGATCATCAGACACCTTGTTCTCTGAAACTCAGTGTGTTTTTGTATATCATTGGTCTGTTTCTCCCTCTCCTTCATCCATTTATTTTTAAAATTCAGCAATCCTTTCAGGCACCTGCTGTGTGCCAGGGCCTAGGTGGGGCAGGGAGGACGCTGTGGGGAACGAGATGCCCCACAAGCTCCAGCCAGGCTGCTGCAAGTGTGTGACAGGCAAGTCTCAGCAGGTCTGGGTCATCTGGGCGCTTCCCCGGAAGGGGACCCCGGGGCCAAGGCCCAGGCACATAGTAAGAAGAGCGTGCCAGGTGGGGGGAATCTGAGGCAGGCTGCCTCGGGAATGGGGGAGCTCCCTGTCCCGTGAGGTATGCCAGCAGCCATCTGCCAGAATGCCAGTGTCCCACCAGTAGGCACCAGGGTGCCGTGATGGCTGGAGTCCCTCTGTCCTGCCCCACAGGTGTAAGACGTGTGGAGAATACATCTACAAGGGCAAGAAGTTCAATGCGCGCAAGGAGACGGTGCAGAACGAGGTGTACCTGGGCCTGCCCATCTTCCGCTTCTACATCAAGTGCACACGATGCCTGGCAGAGATCACCTTCAAGGTAGACACCAGCTCAGCAGGGCTGGTCCTTCCCCCCCCGGGGGCTCCGCGTTCCTAGCCTCTCCCTCCACGGAGCTCCTGTTTCACTCCGTCCCCAGGAGACAGACTTGTTCCCGGCAGCATTATGTACAAAGGCCCAGATGTTCCATGACACGGGATTCAGGGAACAGACCGCCCCGTGACGTGGCGTGTAGCTGGTCACGGTCACAACTGTGTTGAGAATTTGGGGGAACGGCCGAGGACCTTATGTTCTGTTGGAGTTTCTTCTTACCAAATGCTCTTCCTTTGGGTATAAAAAAAGTACCTTGAAAGAATTACGTATTTTGATTACTTTTTTTTTTTAAGGTTATTTGAGAGAGAGCAAGCACGTGTGCACACAGGCTGCGGGGGAGGGGCAGAGGGAGAGAGACTCTCAAGCAGACTCCCCACTGACCGCGAGCCCAACACGGGGCTCGATCTCACCACCTGGAGATCATGACCTGAGCCGAAGTCCAGAGTCGGATGCTCAACCGACTGCACCACCCGGGTGCCCCTATTTGGAGTACTTTTTAAACAACAGCTGTAGTGAGATGTGATTCAGATATCATGCAATTCACCTTTTACAGCGTATGATCCGGTGGTGTTTAGTGTATGCACGGTGGACTAAACTGACCCCGTGCCCAATTCCAGGAAATTTCCATCACCCCCGAAATGAGCCCCATAACCGTTAGCAGTCGGTTCCCATTGTACCTGCCCCCGCCCTGGGAGCCACCCGTCTGCTCTCCCGTCTGGGGGCCTGCCCGCTGCAGATGTTTTCTGTGAGTGGCGCCACGCGCTCTGTCCTTGCGTTTGCGTCCTGGTGTGGTTCCGGGATCCCCCACACCGTGGTGTGTGACGGGGCCCCTTCCACTTCACGCTCAATCACGCTCCAGCGCGGGAACATACCACGTTGTGCGCAGCCATCTGTCTCCTGATGGACACTTGGGTCATTTCCAGAAAATGATCTTTCTACCTGAATTGTAATGGTACGTTTAGATGTTTACGAATACATACGAATTTTTCCAAGACTAGAGAAAAGTGGTATAAGTTGGCCTTTCTGGTGAAGAACTTCGGGTGATTAAGTAGCTGGGGTCACACGCTCAGGTCACGGATCCCCACGCGCATGCGTGCGTGGTAGAAACAGAGCTCAAGCGGAGCTGTGGGGCCAGCGCCGGAAATCCACCTGCCGCTCCCCGTGCCCAGCCAGCCCCGTGCCTGGAAACAGTCCTTCTGGACACACGGCAGAGCTGCAGAGCCGGCACAGAGGGTCGCGCCGGCCCCTCGCCCGCTTCCCCTCCTGCCCGCATCCTCCACGCCCGCAGTGCCTCTGTCTCTGTTGCAGTAAGAAACCGACCCGAACGTCACCATCAGCCACGTTCCACACACAACGTGGGTTTCCCTGTTTTCCCTGATGCCGTCTTTCTGCCCCAGGGTCTCATCCAGGATGCCAGCTTATATTTCCCCTCTCCATTCTAGAAATGCACGTAGGAGCATGCTGTGTATGTACTTGATATGTGATTTATAAGTATGGAAAATCGTGAACAGATGCGCACATGAGCGCACACACGTGCACACACGCACAGAGCAGACAGGCAGGCGGGGCACGTGCAAAGGCCCAGAGACTCGCGTTCGCGGAGGGCGGAGGGTGGCAGCAGGCAGGTGCAGAGGGGCCTGAAGATCCATGCTGTGGAATTTGGCGTTTTGTGAAAGGACAGGAACACTAGAAAGTGGTGTTCGACCCAGGCATTGAGAAAAGGGGGGGGTGCCTGAGGGGCGCAGTGGTTGAGCGTCTGACTCTTCGTTTCAGGTCAGGTCCTGATCTCAGGGTCGTGAGATCGAGCCCCGTGTCAGGCTCCATGTCGGGCTCGGCACTCAGCAGGGAGTCTGTTTGAGATTCTCTCTCTCTCCTCCTCTGGCCCTCCAGCTCAGGCTCGCTCTCTCTCTAAAATAAATAAATCTTAAACAAGAAAAAAAAAAGAAAAAAGACAAGGAAAGGCGTGAGCAGGAGTGAGGCATGGGGAGGCGCTCTCCCAGGCTGCTGGCTGCCGGCTAGCAGGAGCTCTGGACGCCCAGGGACATGGGATTGACGTCTGCCCGTTCTCCCTCCAGACAGACCCCGAGAACACAGACTACACCATGGAGCACGGGGCCACACGGAACTTCCAGGCAGAGAAGCTGCTGGAGGAGGAGGAGAAGCGGATGCAGAAGGAGCGGGAGGACGAGGAGCTGAACAACCCCATGAAGGTGAGCCGGGCGCTGCCTGTGTGCGCCTCTTCCTGCCTCGGTCCCCGGGCAGGGCGATGGGGTGGGCAGAGCTCCAAGGTGGCCCCGGGAGCCCTGCCTCCTGGTCACACACCCTGGGTAGCCGGGGAGTGCGCACGCAAGGACCTCACTCCTGCGATCAGGTCGTTACGTTGGGTCACGGTCGGACTCAGGAAAGGGAGGTTATCCAGCGGGCCGGATCTCTCACCGGAGCCCTTCATCTGGGTCTAGAGGACATTAGCCATGTGAAGGAGCAGGCCTGCAGTGGGGGCCCGCATGGCAGGGAGCAGTGGGGGTCCCCGTCAACAGTCAGCAAGAAAGCGGGGACCTCAGTCCCACAACCACAAGGAACAGAATTCCGCCAGCAGTCCAAGCGAGGCTGGGCCTCGGATGAGACCACCGGCCCCTGACTTCAGCCTCTGGAAGCCGTATCGGAGAACCCAGCCGCACTGCGCCGGGCTCCTGACGACACCAGCCAGGGGACAGCGAGGTCCCTGTGGTGTTAAGCCATTGAGCTGGTGGCAGATTGTCATGCAGCCAGAGGAAATGAGTATCAGGAGGCAGGAAGTTGGACTTGAGAATGCAAGGTGTTTCCTGCGGCTGGCTACCCCTCAGTTTGCAAAGAAGATGCCCGTGACCAGTGGCTGTGAACACTAGAAGTACGGAAGGAAACATTCTCTTTAACGTTTCCTGGCTGTGTGACCTTCGGCAGGGCACTTGGCCTCTCTGTGCCTCAGCATCCCTGTGTGTCAAATGGGATTGAAGACCGGCCGCAGAGGTTGTGGTGGGGCTTAAGTGAGTTTGTACATGTGAAACTCTGGGGATGGGGCCCGGCACATAGGCAGGAATCCCTGAGTGTTGAAACTCCGATTGGCCTTCTTCAAACAAATCATCATCTTCTGCTGGCCTCTTCCATTGGACCTGACGCGGGGCGTTCCACGGTGAGCGGAGCGGCAGGCAGGGAGGAAAGCTCCGCGGAGGCGGCGTGTGCCCAGAGCTGCCTGCACGGCCATGTCCATCGTGGACCGCCCACATGGCCCCAGGGGCTTATGGCCTAATTAGTTACCCCAAAACCGCAACTTACCAAACACCTCTCATCCTCCAGTTTCTGGGGGTCAGGAGGCCCAGGGAGCTGAGCTGGGTGTTCAGGCCTGGGGTCTCTCAGGAGGGCCTAAGTCAAGCTGCAGGCCAGGCCGCATCTTGTGAAGGCTCAGCTGGCCACGTCCCTGCCACGGGGGCCTCTGCACCGTGCACGACATGGCGCCGGCCTCCCCAGAGCCAGTGATCCAGAGGAGCAGGGAGGAAGCCTTTTAGGACCCACTCTCAGAGTGACACACTATCACCCCATCACACTCCGCTCGCTGGACTGGGTCACAGAGTCCAGCCTGCACTCACGGGAAAGGGAATGAAGCTCTGCTTTTTCAGGGGAGGAGCATCAAAGAATTGGGGGACGCATATTCAAAACCTCGGGACTGCCGCTTCCCTCTGTACGGGGTCTCAGCCCAGAAGCGGCTGACGCAGGCTTCCCACCCACACCTCGGACACCCGGGCTGGCCTGGTTCCTCTGCACTGTCGCAGAGATGAAACAAGCTTACGCTAGGCAACGTGTCAGCCTGGGGCCTGGCATGTAACAATTGTCGTTTTTAATCTTTGTTACTATTATTTTTTTTTTTAAGTAGCTGCACACCCAACATGGGGCCCGAACTCACGACCTGGAGGTCAAGAGTCGCACGTTCCTTAAACAGCCAGCCAGGCCCCTCATCTGTGTTTTTACTTTTATTTCATGAAGGTGCTGGGCTGGACATCCAACCACGGGGCCTCAGGAGACCACTCCCCGTCCCCAAGCCTGGGTGCTCTGAGCTGGGAAGTGGGTGCAGCAGGGGGACCAGGCAGGAGGCCCCTGAGCAGGTGCTGTGGGTGCAGGCAGGCGTGGGGGCTCCTCCCCTGGCAGCTGCTGCCCCCCGTAACCCCAGCAGCTGCTGCCCCCCGTAACCCCAGCAGCTGCACGGAGGGGCGGCGGCCCCGCACGTTCAGCCTGGGTCCTGCCCGCCAGGTGCTGGAGAACCGGACCAAGGACTCGAAGCTGGAGATGGAGGTTCTGGAGAACCTGCAGGAGCTCAAGGACCTGAACCAGCGGCAGGCCCACGTGGACTTCGAGGCCATGCTGCGGCAGCACCGGCTGTCGGAGGAGCAGCGGCAGAAGCAGGAGCGGGAGGAGGAGGAGCGGGAGACGGCGTGAGTGGGCCGCGTGGGGCCGGGCGGGGGTCCCAGGCGTTCGAGCCACCTCACAGCCTTTGCTCAGGCCTCCGCCTGGAACGCCCTCCTTCCAGATCTTCTGTGGCTCCTTCAAGTGTCCCTCCTGCAGGAGGCCTTCCCCACGCCCCCCCGCCAGTCTCACTTTCTCCCATGGCACCTGTCTCGTGGTCACCGACATCACTCCCTAGGTTTGGTGTCGCCCAGGCCTGCTGCGTTCACGCTTTCTGCACGGCACTGACTACCCTGGAACCTTCGCTCTGCTTCACCCATCTCCTGGTTCATTGCCTCTCTCCTTCCCTCCCTCCTCCAGAATCTGGACAGGGGCTTGGTTTGGTTTCTGCGTTCCCGGGGCCTGGAACAGGGGCAGGCGCATAGTAGGTGCACGGCAGGTGGGCGGGGTGGCGAATGGCGCACAGCCGGGAGAGGAGTCTGCATGTGGGGAGCTCCAGGCGTGGCCCCGCCCGGGTCACCCAGCCGGGGTGCCAGCTGAGGCAGGCTGGTGCCATCAGCCAGCCCTTAGCCCCACAGCCCTCTGTGGGCAGAGAGGATTGCAAGGAGTTTGGGTACCCCTCCCTGCCCCGCTCACTGCTGTCAGGAGGGGTGGCGGGCCGGGCAGGGCATCGCAGGCGCACGTGCCATCCCACAGGGCCTTGGTGGAGGAGGCGCGCAAACGCCGGCTGCTGGAAGACTCCGATTCAGAGGAGGACGCGCCTGCTCCCGCTGCACCGCGGCTGGCCCTCCGGCCCAAGCCCACCGCCATCCTGGGTGAGGTGAGTGCGCCCCCCCGCCACACCCGGTGCTCTCAGGGCAGCAGAGGGGGGAGCCTGGCCGTGCCGGAGACCACCTGTGAGTCAGCGGGCCCGGCCGCATGCCGGGACAGCCTTGTCTCCGAAGGCGGTGGCAGGCGTGCGGGGCTGCGGTTTACCGACCTCTACTCAGCCGCTGAGACGAGCAGACCCCCAAACTTGGAGACTTAGGAACACAGATGTGTATTTCTCAGTCCCCGTAACAGCGCTGGGGTGACCACCAGGACTTGGCAGGCAGTGCTGCTCCCAGCGCTCGGGGACCCAGGCTCTTTCCAGCTTCTCTGTCTGCTTTCTCCTGGAGCGTCGATCCCAGCTCTGGGGTCACAGCTTCCAGCCGGGGTGGGGGTGAGAGGGGTACCCACCAGGGCCCTGCAGCTCAGCGTCAGAGGCAGCCCGACTAGTGAGCCGCAGGGGACCTGGGGGCTGCGGCAGAGGGAGGGAGGAGGACTTGGTGGGTGGACTTCCCAGCACGGCGTGTCACCCATCCCCGGTGGTCAGGGCCACCCTGGTGTGTTAATCGAAGTCGGGGGCTAAGGCGGGAAATGCTAGGTAGTAGTCACCCCAGACACATTTTATTTTAACTCAGACGTCTTCGTGGTCTGTGCTAGCTAGATGCAGGTTCAGCCACTGGGTAAGACCCAGAGTCCCGCGGTCTCGACTGCACGGAGGTTACTTTTCTGTTGGAAAGTTGTGCACAGCCACCCCGAACGGCGATGGGCCCCAGGCACCTTCCTGCTCGCGCTTCTGTTGGCCTGGGGGGCTGCCCTTCCTGCGGGGTGTCTCGGTACCACCTTCACATCCTAGCCCAGGGCGAGGGCCGGGCAGGGGAGAAGGACGCTCAGGGCCGATATACCCTCGGTCCCACACATCCTGCTGCACACATTCCACTGGTCAGAGCCGAGCCACCTGAGCGCATCCTGCTGCAAGGGAGGATGGGAAATGTAGTCTTTCTGGGGTGCAGCCGTGTTCCCATGAGGCTCCCAGGACTGTCAGCAGAGAGAATGGCCCTGAGGGACGTGCACGCCCATCCGTTACTCTCCCACACAGAACCAGAATGTTTTCTTTGAGGATCTGTCCCCTGGTGACAGGTCTCACACTGTCTTTCTTGCATAAACCGCCCCCAGAATTGTCTAAAATTTCGTTTTTTTGCTTTCACGTGGAACAAGAGATTGGAGCCACTGTGAAAGCAATCTGTGTTTCTTTGCTGCCCCCCGATCTGTTCCGGGTGTCTTCCTTGCACCTGGTTGGATGACAGACTTTTTGTTTAGTTTTGCACAATACGGCTCTGCCGAGACTTCCCAAACCCTCACTGTGACGTTTACGGGAGCCCATCCCCTTCCGTGCCTGTGGTGTCTGTGTCCGTGTCCATGGTTTCATTTAGTGGCAGCGTGTGCATCTGGTGGACACAGGCTTGGGGAGGGGGCTCACTAGGGCTAACGCTGGGGGCCGCGTGAGTCGGCTCAGAAAGCTGTGGCTGGGATCGCTGGCCTCTCTCCGCACCCCACTGGACATCTGTCCCGGGCAGCACTCGCGGGGTCCCGGCTCCAGCCGAACCAGCCCCCTTGCATGTGCCAAGCCCAGTCCGCCACCTGGAGCATTGTCCCTCACGTCTCCGCTTGTTAACTCCTCCTCCTTCTGAAGTCAGCCCACAGGCCCCTCTCTGAGGAGACCTGTCCTGACTGCCCTGTCGACTGGCCGCTGTTCCCTCACGCTGTCACACCACACTGATGTCTTTCTTTGTGTCACACCACTTGTCAGGACAGACTTTGTCCTGTTGATCTATTTGCTTGTCCATCCTCCCTCCTCCCTCGGACGGTGGGCCCCGAGAAGGCAGCACCCTGTCCATCATGCCCCCTGTAGCTCCAGCTCCTAGCTCAGACAGGACCTCCTGAATCGGGGGGGTTCTCGTTCCTCTGTTTGAACATAAAACATAAAAGGGGTCCTCTCCTGTACAGTTGAAGGGCTGGAGGTGGGGCTGAGCCCCTCTCTGCTTTCCCCTCACTAGTCCGCAAAGTGGGGGCCTCCGTTTTTCTTCATTCCATCAAACACATTGGTAGAGCATCTTCATGCCAAGAGGTGTTTGTGGCACTGTGGACCCAGTCATGAACATGACAGGAACCCCCAGCGTAGATGAGGGGGTACGTACTAAGGCAGTGGAGGGCACTGGGGGCATGGACATGCAGCACTCACTTGATCACTCGAGGCTGAATTGTAAAGAAAGGTTTCCCAGAGGAGCTGATACTTGGGTATTGAAGGGTGAGGAGGAATTCACCAAATGCTTTAGAGGAAAGGGGGCATTGCAGGTGTTGGGAATGGCGTGGGTAAATGCACAGAGGGGAGAAGGCGTGGTGTGATTTCAGGAAGTGTTAAGTGCAGGGAGGCTGGAGAAGGTGGCATTTGGGCCAGTTCACCCACTCATGTCCCCCCCTTACTCCCAGGCCCCAAAAGCCAAGAGGAAGGCGGAGAGCTGGGAACGGAGTGTTGGCACCCTTGGCAGCAGGCCCCAGCTGTCAGGCCTAGTCGTGGTGAAGAGAACAGACCTGGGTTGCAGCACCCAGCAGGGCCTGGCACCGCCACCCACCACCCAGGGTAGGTGCCCTGGGGTCCTGGGAGCGGGGTGCAGCGCCTCAAGCGGCCACCAGGTGGCAGCAGCGCCCCCAGTGTGGCCTTGCCGCTTGGGGGAGCCATCTTGAGTGGTGGGGAGAGGGGGCGGTGTGCCCTGAACCAGGGCTGTGGGGTTGAGGCCGCGTAGCCTAGCTCTCGCCTCTCACCCAGGCCCCGTGCAGAGCGGGAAGCCGGCTGAGCCTGCGCCCTGGACGCCCGGTGCCTCCTCCCTGAGCCAGCTGGGGGCCTATTCAGACAGCGAGGACAGCAGCGGCAGCAACTGAGACGCCAGGCCCTTCCCCGGGTCAAGGTCCCGTGTCCGGCTTCAGCTGGTGGTGGGGGCAGGATGCCTCGGCCCCAACCAGAGCCGCGCATGACTGGACAAACCCCAACGTCCTCTGACGCGGCAGGGCCAGCGAGGGGTTCGGCCGAGGGACTCGGTTCCTCCTGTCCCCCCACCTGCCGGCCCTCGGGGACCTCGGGGGCCCCAGCTCACGCTGCCGCCCTCCTGGCCCTCTGTTTGGGGCTGCGGCATCCCCGGAACGGCGCTCGGCTCCCGGCAGGCCTCGTGGTCCTCCCTTTGACAGCCGCGAGGGCTCGGCTGTGTTTGGGGGGGGGGCACGCGGGAGAACGCACCCACCCCTTACTAGCGCTGCCCCTTCTGGCCGCAAAACCCGCAAGCCAATGAAAGGAACCGCTGTCTGGGCTGGGCCCCTGTTCCGCCAGCTTCTGGGGCCGGGGGAGCCACAGAACCACACAATGTGGCCAATCTGGCCTCTGGTTCTCCCAAGCTGTGAGATGGGAAAGGCTCGTTGATTAGTGGACGTTTGGGGAGAATTTGTTATGTAGCCGCAGATCACCAGTACGTCACCGGTCACGTGACCAGGAAATCGATACCGAAGCTCACGTTCTTTCAAGGTTGCCGGATTTCTACTCCGGTATAATTCCCTCCCACTTCAGAGTTTTCTAGTTGAAGGTCTTGTACTCCCGCCGGACTCCTTCAGCACCTGACCCGCAGCTCTGCTCCCCTCCGCCCCACCCCGGGGTCGCCAGCCTCAGCCCTCCTCTCTCTCTCTCTCACGCACATTCACATTTGTTTGGCATTTGGTAATGAGGCTTTGTGCTTCTTGCTCTCACAGTTTGGGAGATGAGAAGCCCCCGCTTTGGGGATCCGCTTTCCTGCAGTGATTTCTGTACTTAAGTACGACTGGAAGAAGCGAAGTAAGCGAACTGGGATCCAGCCAGGCCCCCACGTCCTCACCTCGCAGCTCCCGGCCGTGAAGACAGGCCCCGGGGCCCTGGTTCTGAAACACTGACAGTGGAGGGGCTGCAAATCGGTGCCCCATACCGGGGGGGGGGGGGGGGCGCGCAGCCCGCCGCGGCCTCTTTTCCCCAAGGTCAGGGTCAGTGTCGCGCAAGGTGCCTGCGATGAGTCTGCTCAGACCAGCGGCCAGAGGAAAGCAACCAGCCGAAGAAGCGCTTGTGGAAGAGGTGGGGCCCCCGGTTCACTCTGATTTATTCTCGCAGACCGTTTCCTGAGCTCCTGTCGCTTGTCGCCGTGTGTGCGTGCCACCTGTCACTGTTCTTTACTAAAGATTATGAACTCCATTCCAAAACACAGATTAGCAAGCTACTGTTGGTGGACCAGAGCCGGCCCACAGCCTAGTTTGTGAACAAAGTTTTGTCAGCACAGCGACATGCCCGTTTGCGTGCGTGTAACGTGTGGCCGCTGCGCTCTGCAGTGGCAGAGCCAACAGGTTCACTGTCGGGTCCCTGGTAGAGAAAGGCTGCCAGACCCCGTCTGGGTCGCCCAGCTCTGCCCTTCCTGCTCCTCACGGCCTCCAGGGGAAGGTGCCGACACCCCCTCACCCCAAGCTGCACTCTCCTCAGTGTGGCACAGGGGATGAAGTACACGGGATCCACTTCGTGAAGTAACAGCGGACGTTCGAGAAGTCCTTGCCGCTTGCCTGACCTGTGCTGAGCTTGTGCGGATTCACTCGTTTGAGTTTCCTGAAGCAAGTTGCTTGCTAAAAAAAAAAGTATATAATTTATATACAAGATATATGTTAAAATAAAATATGTATAAAATTTATATGTGTAATACATATTATAAAATTTATAATGTATATAATATATAGTTGATATAGCTTATATATAAAATGTACGAATTACACATATATAATACATATTTATTATACATTATTTTATTTTATTGAGCACCTACTTTGTGCCCAGATCTGTTTTAGGCACTGGGGCTACAACACTGAAGGAAAACATACGACCATAATACCCTAAAGAAAAAAAAAAAAAAAACACGGTTCCCCCTCGTAATGGTGACGTTCTGTTCGGAAGATGGGGCAGAAGATCGTGAATGTATCTAAAAACAATAATAAGCTATGAAGTGAAGCAAACATACACTGGAGGCAGTGATTGCTCTGGATGAAAACAGCAGGGTGAGGTGGTTGGGAGGGGCGCCATCGTGAGGTGTGTGTCTTGCCCACCACCCCCAGTATTAGCTACCCCTGCATAACGAGGTCTCTCAGAAGTTCCCAGCGGCAAACAGTAGTCTGGGTGTGGCCTTGCTGGGTTCTCTGCCTCAGGGTCTTGAAGCTTACCTTGAGACGTGGTCCAGGGCTGTGGTCTCATCTGAAGGCCTGTCTGGGGCCGGATCCACTTACAAGCTTGCTCACTTGTCTGTTGGCAGTTCCTCACGGGCTCTGAGCCAGAGGCCGCCCTCAGCTGCTGGCCTACATGGTCCTCTGAAGGCTGGCTTCCTAAAGCCAGCCAACGGGAGTCTTCTGAGAAGTGGCATCCTGTCACCTTTGCCATGTCCCCCTGGTTGGAAGCAAGCCACAGGTGTGGCCACATTCAAAGGAAAGGGGTTACACGTGGCTGTGACCACCAGCAGGTCAGGGTAACTGGAAGGCAGCAGAGGGTCTACCTGCCAGACCCCCGCCTCCCGGTCAACCGTGAGCTTTGTGAGGGTAGCTGTGTGATGAGTGTAGCCCCAGCATCTGAGCCCATCCAGGCACTTAGTGGGAACTAAGTGGAACTCACTGGAACTGTCTTAATCTTATCTCCCTGCAGGCTTTTATGCTTCATTCTCCCATCCTATGACCTGGGAGCCATTCTGCTCTTGGCCCCAGTTCCCGGTGGGGTTTCCAGGGGTCTAGCGAGTGAGCAGAGGGGTAGCAACACATCAGGGTCTCTCGTGTGTGTGTGTGTGTGTGTGTGTGTGTGTGTGTGTGCACGCGCGCGCGCGCATGCTGATCCTCCAGGGCCTCCACCCGCCCCTACTCTTCCCCTCATCCCCTGGGCCCCCTCCCACTCTCTGGAGCCTGCCCTTCCCCAGTGACTGCTGACAGCCCCCATTTCCCACCACCCCCGGCACGCTCCATGTCTGTCATCCTGGGGAGCTGTCAGGCCTCATCCAGAATCTCCTCCATCAGTCCCCCTGGGGGCCGCCGCCCAGCAGAGGGACTTGTGGGGGTGGCCTTCCCTCCTGCTAGAGCCCACTTGGCCTGAGCCTGGGCTTCACAGAGACAGGGGCCGCTGCCCCATTTCCCAGTCTCTAACTGCGTGACAGGCTCTGCACCAAGCTCCCTCTACACCAAAACTTGCCGCTCACTCCCTCGGGTACATGTCGTGTTACTGCCCGATTTTACAGAGGCGGGAAGCTCCTTGGCCAAGGTCTCAGAGTGAGTGAGGGACAGGACCTGGTTTGCCATTGCAAGGCTCCGAGGCTACACCTTTAATGACCAAACTCCACTGCAACTCTTGCCGACAGAGCTTCCAAGGCCTGGGCTGTGCCTCTCCCATCAGATTGGGCACTCATGACAACAGAGCTATCTCTCCTCCATCAGACTAGGTGTCCTTGAAGGCTGGACCATGTCTGCCCTGTCAGACAGGGACTCCTAAGGATAGGCTTTTGTCTCCTCCATTAGACTAGGGGCACCTAAAAGGAGGGCCATGTCTCGAATCAGACTGGAAACCCCTGAAATCAGAGCCATGCCTCCTCCATCAGATTGAATGCTTCAGTGGGTAGAATCATGCCTCCCCTATCAGACTGGGAGCCTATTGAGGCATATACTTATCTCCTCCATCAGACTGAGGCTTCTGAGGTCAAGACCATGCCTCTCCCATCAAACTGCGAGTTTTAAAAGGCAAGGGTGTGTCTAGGAGCTTCTTAGAGCAGAGACTGTCTCTCCTTATCGGAGTAGGAGCTCCTAGCACAGGGCTACGTCTCCTCCATCAGATTATTTAGGCCCCACCATGAGCTGTCACTTCTTATCCTGGTGCCTTGGCTCCCATCCCCCCTCCAGACTGGCTGTTCCATGAGACAAGGATGAGGGGACAGGGAAGGCAGGCACAGCAACCCCCCAGGGACCCCAACTGGCTCCTTCTTAAGGTCCCACCTACCTAAAGCATATATTGAGCACCTACTATGTGCCATGCAACAGAATATTATTGGGCCATAAAGGGAATGGGGCGCACGCACAAACACACACACATACACACACACACACACGTGGATGGACCTTGGAAACACGATGCTCAGTGAGAGAACCAGACACAAAAAGCCACATAGAGTGTGATTCCATTTATGTGAAAGGTCCAGAACAAGCTCACCCAGAGAGACAGAAAGTGGATTAGAGGTGCCAGGTGTGGGAGAAGTGGGAAGAATAGAGAGTGCCCATAGGGGTGGGGTTTCTTGTTGGGGTGATGAAAATGTTCTGAAATGAGTGGTGATGGTTGCATGATCTTGTGAACATTCTCAAACTGAAATGCACACTTCAAGTGGGTAAATTGTTGGGCATGTGAATTGTATCTCAAAAAAAACCACAAAAAACAAAAAAACCAACAACAAAAGATGGTCCAAACAGCGCCCAGAAGCGCTCAGTAGAGGTCAGCTGTTCTTCTCCCATCTCAGAGACGGGAAAACAGCCCAGGTCACCACCCAAGATCAGGAGAGCTGGGTTTCTGGAAACTGAGCCGCACTCAGGAGATGGCCCTCATACACTGCCTCTTGGACTACGGGGGTTGGAGGGAGGGAGGAAGCCTCAGCCTAGGACCCCTAGACCACCCCACCTGCTCGCCTTCATCCGCGCAGTGCGCACCCTCTGCTGCCCATCAACATGCAGAAACCCGAGTTCCTGAGGTTCTTCAAGGGCACACAGCAAGGTCGCCAGCCCCCAGCCTGACTCTCCTCATCCACCATCTCCCAGAGCTCCTCGCTCCTCCCGGAACCCTTCGAGGGCTCCTCTCCTTAAGGCGGGGGGGGAAG